AGCGCAGGTTTGAGAGAACCGGGTTTGATCCCCCACTCCTCCACATGCAGCCACTGGTGCGACCTTGGGTCAGTCACAAGTTCTCTCAAGTGCAGTCCTCGAAAGAGCTCTCTCAGCCCCACCCATCTCACAGGGGAGGGGAAGGGAAAGGGCATTGTAAGCCGCTCTGAGACTCCGAGTGAAGGGCGGGAGATAAATCCAGGGGTTATTTCCTGCGGGAGCGCACAGGAGCGGAGCTCCGGAAGTAAGGAGCCCAGGGGGTGGACACATGCAACAAGCCCCACCCCCTGCTCCCAGCAGCCCTCAGTTGGGCCACGAGGAGCAAGAAGCAGCCAGGTAAATTGCAGAGCCCCCCCCCCGGCCCGCCTTCAGGTACAAGCTCTCCCATCTCTGTAAGGGCAGATCTGCGCATTCCCTCTCCCCCATAGCTAGCAATCCAAAACAGTCCAGTGGCACCTTTAAGACCAAGTTTTATTCAGGCACAAGCTCTCCCTCCTTGGGGGGACAGGTCCGCCCCTCCCCCCCCCCCCAATAGCTAGCAATCCAAAACAGTCTAGTGGAGCCTGAGCGGTGGGTGTTGCCTTCTGACACACTTCCGGTGTTGTCAGGGGGTGTGGCAAATAAATTATGCTAATTAGTTATGCTAATGAGCTCCTGCACCTCTTTTTCTACGAAATGACCCCTGGATAAATCCAATCTCTTCTCCTTGTCGTCCTTTGCTACGACCGTGTCTGAGCCTTGGTCCCGGATCGTGGCCTCTGGGAAGAGGGGCTCCAGAAGTGGACACCGGAGCCTTCCCTCTCCCAGTCCGCATCGCCGGGGTGGGCACCGGCTCACTGTTGTTGGGTACCCGCTTTGACAGCCTCTCGTCTCCCTGGGGCTTTGGGCCAGTGATGCACCTGCCCACTGTAGCGTTTCCAGCTCCGGGTCAGGAAATCCCTGGAGATTTGGGGGTAGAGTATGAAGATGGTGGGGCTTGGAGGGGAAGGGACTTGGGGGCAGGTGTAATGCCATACAGCCCACTAGGGATGCCAGCCTCCAGGTGGGACCTGGGGATCCACTGGTTTTACAGCTCATCTCTGGACGACAGAGATCAGTCCCCCTTGAGAAAAGGGCTGCTTTGGAGGGTGGACTTTGTGGCACTGTGTCCCACCGAGGTCCCTGCCCTCCCCAGCCTGCATCCCCAAATCTCCAGGAGTTTCCCAACCTGGATCTGGCACCCCTACTATGCTAGTAGTGGGGTATTTTTCTCCAAATCAGCCATTTCCTCCCAGGGAATTGATCTCTGTTGTCCGGAGCACAGTTGTAAATTCTGGGGATCTCCCACGTTTACAATTGATCTCTAGACCAAGGCTCCCTCCAAGCTGTGGAGTCTTGTGAGCAAAAATCCTACTTGGTGAGCCACTGGCATTATTTTATTTTATTGATTTGACTTTTACCCCGCCCTCCCCGCCAAGGCGGGCTCAGGGCGGCTCCCATAAAACTAATAAAACAATATACATCAATATAAAATTACAGGTACATCAGTTAAAATCGGTGGCGCTACAAAACAGTAAAGGTAAAGGTTCCTTTGCTCGAAAGCCAGTCGAGTCCGACTCTAGGGTTGCGGTGCTGATCTCCGTTTCAAAGCCGAAGAGCCAGCGCTGTCTGAAGATATTTCCGTGGTCATGTGGCCGGCATGACTAAACACCGAGGTGCACGGAACGCTGTTCCCTTCCCACCAAAGTGGTCCCTATTTATCTACTTGCAATTTCTTGCTTTTGAACTGCTAGGTTGGCAGGAGCTGGAACTAGAGATGGGAGCTCACTCCGTCATGTGGCAACTCGGGTCTCGAACTGCTGACCTACCGACCTTCCACAGCCTGCAGTTCAGCGTCTTAACCACTCGAGCCACTGCAGCTCCTACAAAACAGTAAAGAGCAGTTAATATTGATGGCGATACAAAACAGTAAAGTGCAACTTGAGACACGTTCAGCGATGCCACTGCGCTAGGCCACATTAAAGTTGTGAGCGAGGCATTTGGCTGCTGCATAAGTTAGTTTTCTCTGGGGCCCTCCCTTCCTGAGCTGAGACGAAAATGTGTGAGCCGCAGGCTAAAAAACTATGAACTGGCTCACACTCACTCAGCTTAGAGGGAACACTGCTCTAGACTACAGAGGTCAGAGCTCTGGAGAAAATGGCTGCTTTCGAGAGTTGGCATCGATTTC